CGTTATTATAACGTTAGTGCAACGTAAAATTGTTAGGTGTGAAGGGGAAGCTACATGCTGACTACATCATTCAATCAATCAACCGCCTTATAATTAAATGGTCAGCTACATATGATAAAGGGGTTATAATAAAAGCGTTTAGGCCTACTGGTGGGTAGGCATTGCTCTCGACCACGTTCCCACATCTTCCCTACACGTAAATAGGCGTACGAACGTCGTGACCACCTTGGATGCGCGTGCGCTAAATATGAGACAGCGTAACTATGGCATGCCTGGTAGATTTATCATACTCTTTGAATATTTCTTTTCAGACAATATCAATTGCGTGGTAATTATATACGCCAAGTTACTTACTAAATTGATGCTGTCAAGAGCATAAATATTACAGCATCATTCTGTAGATAGTTAAGCCGCGATCATTTTATTAACATACCGTAAAAAGTATTTTAAAATCGAATTGAACAAAGGAAATAAATTCATTAACACAATGACACGGCCTTAATAATTAATCATCGATGATTAAACCATTGTAAACTAATTAAAAACGGAACTTGTTCTTACCTTTGAATTAACTTTACTATTATCCAAGAAAATGTTCCACGAGTCCGATAGTTCAGCACATGTGCATTGTACTTCAGTCCTCCTTAATTTAACAGCGATCTCCAATGGTATGCAGCACCGGTCCAAAGCCTAAGTCTACACATCCATTTATTGGTAAAGAATTGAACAATAAACCAGAACGCGCCAGAATAGTATCACATTAACATTGACACGGCCTTAAAAATAATTATACATCGATTATTAAAACATTATAAACGAATTAAAAACTTGTTCTTACCTTTGAATTAACTTTACTATCATCCAAGAAAATGTTCCAACAGTCCGATGTGAATTATTTCAGCACATGTGCATTGTACTTCAGCCCTCCTTTAATTTAACAGCGATCTCCAATGGTATGCAGCACCGGTCCAAAGCCTATCGACGCTCACTATTCTGGGTAACCCTACCTAGTAAGTCTACACATCCATTTATTGGTAAAGGATTTATAATATAACACTTGGCTGTGTTATCAGTTAACAAAAATAACTGAAGCTTAGAAAGAAATCAAAAGTTCGTGTCATAACGTGGGTCAATGAACAAGTAACTGTAGTGAAGTCTTTTGCGCTTCTTGAGGTGCAATTTGTTCAAGTCGTGCTAAGTTACCTGCGACGAACCTTTTATTTTTGAAAACAAATGTGGGTAAAAGGATAATGGATTAGTCAAAATCCTTTTCACTAATCGGATTTCACTAGTTGGTTGTATCGGTACAAGACGTAGCCCCCTTTTAAGGATAAAGGCCCTTGACGCGAGCAGTAGCATAAGCTATCAGAACATAAAATGCTACTCAGATCCTCTGAAAGTCCGCATGTATGGAGCAAGCTGCAGATATACCAAGGCATAGAGAATATTGGTTTTCACAAAGCATGGGGAAAAGTTCCTTACATTTCAGACTTCCAGGGTGTTTTAAGTGCTCGGGAAGGATATGTGATTAGCATGCCAGATTCGCGACAAATACATAATTATAAAGTACGTGATCTCGAGTGACGTGTGTACGTGCTAATCTGACGTATCGATATCCGCGTTGTGGATGTAATTAATAGCGCAGCGCGTCAAGCAACCAATAGAAAGAGAACAAAGCATACAAGTATTAACATAATGATGTTAAGCCCCTGTGCCTCATTGATTTTGATAGAAGCCTATGTTATTAATATAACAGAAAATATCTACTTTAATTGAAATTTAGTCATCCCCAAACATAAAGAAAATGCTAAACAAGACGCATTCTACGTTCAACTTTGCGCCATACTATACAGTGTAAATAAACGATTGAGTGAAACTACGGTTTAAACGATTTCTATCCTGGTGGGTATTGTATACAGTAATTAATTTAGTGGCCGCATTATTTTTGACATGTCCCTGAAAACGTGCTTCCAAGTTAATTTGCATAAATATTGAAATGTTGTTAAGTATCCTGGTTTAAGATTTTAGTGAGCTAACACTTTATTCAGTAACAAAACAATATTTATATTGGTTATATAAGCTTATTTGACACCAAACAAAAGAGAAAAACAACCCCCCCCACACACTTTATTCACCATTATTGCTCAATGAGAGTTCGTTATTGAGCCAGAAAGCGAAATCTGGATACGGTAATCCAGGAGAAAGGAGACATAATTAAAGAACTATGTATGCCTAAAACCGAAAGGTCCACTGATTAGTCTCAGATAAAATAGCATCAATGCACGCCATCATGTCGGGATTCAATATTTCGACATTAATTATGTCCGTCATGATGACATAATTAATGTCGAAATATTGAATCCCGACACGATGGCGTACATTTCGATACTTGGAGTATGTATTATACTATCTTATGTATGCCTACGTATTCACAATTCATTAGTAGGCCTATTTGGCCAGTGTCCCGAGTATCATTCACATATATTTTATTACAAGATTGATAAAATGCCGTCTCTATTTTTATCGAGGCTCTTTAGCGTAATGCGCTTTAGTAGGCATATGCATTAATTTATTATTTGTTCTATCTTGTGAGTTTTTTTGTTTGTTTTCTAGACGCCCGAAAATAAACCTCTGAGGCGTCTTGGTTAGGTAAAAAAAAAAAAAAAAAAAAAAAGGGGGGGGGGGGGGGGGGGGGGGAGCGGCCGGCCCGGTTTTCTACAAAATCCAATATACTGTTTAACCAAAGAGGTATAACAAAAGTTGAATACGTAGGCCTATGGTATTTTCATTTTAGTTTGGAACGATATGGGAGGAGTGGAGGGGGGGGGGGGGGGGGGGGGGGGGGGAGAAGGGGAGCTAGCGGTGGCCTACTAGACTACAGTATATTCAAAATTGGCTTGGGCCCGATCGTCTGTCACGTCTGTCACCCATTTTTTCACCGCGATGATCAAGAACATACACGATCTCGGCCCAAATCATGAAAAAATAAATTTTGAAATTAACTTTTTTAGTTCTTAACATAAAAATTATCAACTTGAACACAAAAAAAATGTGGTTACCCATAACCGGATCCACATGGAAATGGAGAAACAAAGAAATGCAATCAAAACAATGCAACTGAATTAAAAACGAGCTTGAATAATTAAAAAGGCATAAAATTTAGACATAACACTCACTAAACTTAAACACATTAAAAATACATTTAAATACATTTACAGAATTAATTGCAAGAAACAAGGAAATCACATTTCAAATAGGCCGACATATGCATATATACACATACACACCCACGTGTATATATATATATATATTTTTATATATATATATATTGATTTATTGATAATTTATTGATCAA